AACCTCAACCCAAACCCATTAATTTCGTGTTAGGTTCGTGTCGTGTTTTCAAGTCGTATCGAAAATTGCCACCCCTACCCATACTTAGCAAGTTGGTCTTTAAATCTAGGACAAAAAATAAACATTAGAGATAGTGTGGTAGAATTTTCTTTAGTCTAGATAGTTATCTTTCTTTTACACATTAGAAAAACTATGGAGTTATTACCAAACTTGACAGTGTTATGGAATGATTTGTCCAACTTAGAAAATGCCTTTTTCTTTCCACACGTGTGGTTATCAAACTAGTATCTAAATACCACATGTTCTATTGTATTTCTTCGTTCGTGAGACACATAATCAAAAGAGACTCATCTTCTTCTTTTTCTGCAAAGTTAGTTCTTTCTCTGTTTTGCCTATTCAAATTAGTTTGACATTCTGACTGATAATGGCCAACCTATGACATTGATAGCATTTAACATTAGACTTGTTTGTTGTCTTTAGCCTATGAGTTGAGTGATGACCTACTCATCCTCTTCCTTTTCCTCGAAATTGATTTTCTTGATGCTAGTGGTGTTGTTGCTGGTCAACACAGTCATTACTTTCTCTACGTCTATTGCATTCTCTATCCTCATTCGATGTCAACTAATTTTCCATTGAGGCCTTCAATGCATGCTCTTTTTTCTCTTACTGGTTAATTTTTTGCTCATGAACTAGCAAAGAGCTCTACAACTCATCAATTGAAAGTGCATCAATATTTTTTCGATTCTTCTATAAAACATACAACAAAATTAAATTTTGGTCTCATCAATCGAAAAATCTTCTTGATAATGGTGACACCCTCCAACTTCTGTCTATGGTTTCTCATCTTGTTGGCAATTGTCATCATTTTTGTGAAGAAATCTATAACTGACTTGCCCGACTTCATGCTTAAAGTCTCAAATTTAGTTTGAAGTCCTTGAAGCTACACTCAGTTTGCCTTTGCATTTCCTTGATGCTTCTTCTTCATGGAGTCCCAAATTTGCTTGAAGATATATTTGTTAAGAATTGTCTCCAAGGTTGCTTGATCAACAGCTTGACAAAGATATTTCTTGGCCTTAAGGTTCTTTAACTTCAATGCTTCCAACTTCTTTTTCTGCATCTCCGACAACACTACCGATAAATATTTTGCTTATATATATTTTTAAGGGTGTTTATTTACTTAGTTTTGGTGTGTTTTAGAGTTTTTAAGGACGGAATTCGCTTCTATTAGCTACTATCTCCATAAGTCCTATTTTTATATTAAAAACTTGCATTTGAGTCATTTAATGTGTAAATTTGTTGCATTTGTAGGTTTTTGGTCAATTCAGATCAAATAAAATTCAAGCAAGACATATGACAGAATTTGAAGATGGTTTGGAAATGACAAATGATGAACAAGAGTAATTTATTTTTGGGGAAAAAACGTGACCTGATATATGAGTATCACCGCATTTTCATCCCTATTTTGGATTGAAGCAGAAAAAGACAAACAAAATGCAGGGGAGCCAAAATGCGGGTTAATATGAGGCTACCACTATTATTGCAATTATGGCTGTGCAACTCGCACAACTACTTGCTTCACTTTCTCATAGGTTTCTAACTCATTTTCATATCGAAGTTTGGCTGCAACTACTCAAGGAAGCTTTGGAGATTGTGAAGAAGTTTATGTCATTTCATTGATGACTTTTGTTCATTCTAACTTCTATATATGCACATTGTATTTCAAGATCAAAAGGGAGGTTAGAAGGAGAAAAAAAAGTTGTGAGAAACGTAGTATAGATAGGAGAAACTTGTGACCTTCGTAGATTGAAGCAAAAATTGTAAGAGGAAGCTTGTTAAGCTTATTTCAATATTTTGAATAAGAATTTCTCATCCTTTGCTCTTTAAATTTTGTTATCAATCATGTCTTGTTTCATGAGTTTATTATGCTTAAACATGCTTAACATTATATCTAGCTAAACTATTTTCTCTTAGGGTGAAAATGAACTTGTTTGCATCGTGATATGAAGTGATTTTCAGTTAATTTGTGATATCTTGTGAACTTGTTAGTTCATGTATCTATGCTTCATATTTGTTGTTACTTGATCAACAACTATGAATCATCTTATCATTTGTTGTGCCTTAAACCTTGCCATGCAAGTGTAGACCAAGATTCATGAAGCCTAAAGATCATGTTCACCAAAGTAGGAGATCTATTTAGGTGGCTTTGATTTTCCTACTTCATAGATCTTAATGAGGTTGTATCAAGTTAACTCATCATGTAAATAGGTGAAAGCTTGTTATGAATATGTTTGGGTAATGGAAAAATAGTATTTAAATAAAATTGGAAGTATATCCTTGGAAAGTAACATGTTTAAGGCATAAATCATTTGGATAATTTCTTAATCTTGAGTAATAAGAGATTCGTAAACCATATGAAGTTCTTCTCCTAAATTCTCCATTGTCAATTTACTTTCTTAAATTAGTATAATTGGTAGTGTATTGCTTTTACTTAATTTCTTGAGTGTTTAGATAATAAAGCAAGTTTTAAAAGCTGGAGTAATTAACCAATTCCCTGTAGGATCGATCCTAATTATTATTATACTCATTTGACCCATTTAATTGAGAAAAATCTTGGCAATTGGACTTAAGTAAAATGGTAATTGGAAATTTATAACTTGAAAGCCTGAGCCATGTCAAGTTTTTTGTGTCGTTGTCGAGGAAGATATGGTTCAATATTAGTGCTAAGAATATTTTTATTAGTTTAGACATTTTTACTTATTTTTTGTTTGTTTATTGTGTCAAGTGTCTTGTTTAATCTCTTATTTTGTGTTTGCAGAGTTTCTTAAATGTATCTTCTACTAGAAATTTTTTAGTTAACTATGGAGAATTAGCACTTATTTTGGTTTAGCAAAGAATTTGAACTGTTTGTGCATAGATACTTGCCCGGGAAGCTATACATATAAGTAGATTACCAGCAAGATCGTTCAGCTTTAGGGTTTTCAAGAACTATGGCCTTATATTTGTTATTGACGATGATGAATCTTTAGCTCTCCTTATTTGTTAACTTTAAGGATCGTTCCCAGTTTTTTGGTTAAGCTTGAGCATAAGTTCTGCTAACGACAATTTTCCAGACTGAAGTGCACGAGAGCAATAATACATTACTCCTACAAGTTTTTTGCCAAGTGTCCTGTACACAGCTTGCCTTAGCTTGGTGTGTACTTTTTTGTATCCAACATTTGTCAAGTTCAGAAATGTCTTGTATGTCGCTTTATTCTTGGGTATTAAAAAAAAAATAAAAAGTAATACATGTCAAGGCCTATCTAACAGGTGTCCCTTGAGACTCGTTAAAATAGGATTCATATGTTGGTAATTTGATAAAATAAAGTTAAATAGGGAAAGTATATAATGCAAGGTGGAGTAATAATTATTATTATGTGCATTCACATAATTAATTATGTTAAATGTGTTAGGTACTCATTATAAAAACCCTAAATGTTATATCAATCCTTCTATCAAATCTATACAATTACAATTTTGGAAACAAATATATATTTTGGAAAATGTTCTAAAGAACTTTGCATGATTGTAAACACCATAACACTCTTCAAATCATACTTTAATTAATTTCTTATATTAGTTAATACAACAAAAATTAGAAATTAAAGAAAAAGGAAATTGTTAAGCAATTGACGCACTGCTTTTCTAGGCAGCGGTCATACTGACCTAGTTTTGATTTCTATTGGAGGCTGGGATTGAATAAGTCAGCCGGATATTGATCGTCCTTCAGGAAAATATGGGCAAAGCTGGAGAATACAAAGTACAAACCCAAAAACAAAAAAAAAAAAAAAAGGACTATGTAGCCTGTGAATACGTAGATATTGCCTCATTAGGTACCTAATGTTAAGTCCATTTCAGGAACAAATGAACATCCCAATATATATTTTTTTTCTTGATGGAAGTTTGCACATTCATTTTTTCTTTTTCAGATGTTTTTCCTTCAAATCGTAGATCTGCTTTAAGAGGATAACGTTAGGAGGAGAGGCGTGCGAAGAAGGGGTCTTTCGATGAAATGCAATTCGGCGGTCAAGATGCTTTGCACCAGACCAGAGGGTAAATGCCAAAGGACACACTATCACCGTCGGTAGGGTCACATCGACCCGTAGCTTCCAAAGCAGTGAATGGCTTGTCCGGGATAAGGTCTAAATGTAAAGTGGTCCTATGCCATCAAAAACTTTTTTGACATCAAACTTTAAAAGCTAGTGCAGTCTTCTACTCAGGCAAGCAATGTTCTAAACAAACATCAATTTCAGCTGCAAATTATTATCGGATGTAGTTCATAAGCAGAGGTAATTGCCACTTTTGGCACATTACCTTTTCAATTGATGGATGATCGTGCAACAAGAAATCAGGTTCTCCTCCCATTTGACTATTGTCCTCGTGCTTCTTTTTTGCGACCTACCGAGTTTTCCTTTTCTTTTAGAAACAGATTATTCCTATGCAGACACATTATCCTCTAAAGTTTGTCATCTTTGGAAAAGATTTTCGCAGCTGATATTCGATTATCCTGGATCCTTTATGTTATTTTGTCTCGAAATAGAAAAAAAACATTAGAAAATGTGATGGCTGATTTATATGTGCTGTGACTGTGAGGGAGAGGCCGCCGATCAGTTCACACTTCAGTCGGAGCAGTTTTCATGATCTCAAAGACATGCAAGTCAATTTTCCTGCAGAACCCACTCTCTAATTGTCTACATTTTCGCTACTCCTGTATAGGCCTTCGTGACTTAAAACGATCAAAGAATCATGCAGGGCTGTTTCATGTTGTTAGAAAGTCAGGAGTTAGAATTCTTCTTTCTTGTGTCCGACAATGTGTGAATTGTATTCTTTCATCAATTCGACAAGTAGATAGAATGGTGCCAGAATGTCTAATAACTTCTTCCGCAAAACCTGTTAAGCCGAATGAACCGTTAATTGTATACCTAGTCAATGTCACCAAACAAATTCGTAATTGAGACAAAGTATGAAAAGGAGACAGCATTTATAATGTGTAGTGTTTATTTTCTATACCACCCAAAAATAACTAGTCTCCATTACACTATTACAGTCGTTCTATTTTATCTGAAGCAACAAAATTAATATACAATCCTCAGCCATATCTACTAAATAAAGCCTAAACTATCTAAATATATCAAAAAGTCGAACCTGCAAGTATAGACCTGTACTATGAGGAAATATTGATGTTCTTTACACTACTATGGCATCCCCTTTTTCCTAGTAAATAAAGGGAGTTGAAGAAAATAGTAGAAAATAGCGGTGATCCCTGATCAGCATTCACCTATGCCTGCCCTTACCCTTGCTCTACTGAATCTTCAAGCTACAAAGTCTGGCAACAACTGTGCAGCGAACCTCTTGCGGTTCTGAATGTTGATGTTCTCATATACACTAGTCGAGTGACTAGATGTCGGGGTACCTAAACCGCCATAATCATTTGCTTCGCCAATTTCTACTCCTCTACCCAATTGTATATTTTGGTTCGGCAGAAAGTTTTGATGGGGTCCTGAAATGGAGAGATTTTCGCAATGCGGGAGCCCCAGAGTGAGGGAGACTCCATTACCTGAATATGGCCCTGGAAATTGCTCGCTGCTAAACCTGCCAATTTCAGCAATTGGGTATGAACCAAATCCTCCAATGAAATTTGTTGGTGCCCCAAGTAACGAAAATCCTTCTCTGTTCTGCCTCTCATTGACGAACTTCATCGACAGTTGCTCATTGTTTGACTCATTGGGCTTTGCATCGATACTCACTGATGGAACGCTGCTTGGAGAATGTAACATGTCTGCGCTTCGCAGTTTCTTAGGGCTTCCTTGGGTTATGCTGTCCATTTCTGGTGAACCGATTAGGTTGAAACCGGACTGATTCTGGATGTGTATTCCAGGTGGAGATGCTGTAGGAGACATTGAAATTGGACTAGTGACGTTCTGGTTTGCAAGATGGTCCTGTTTTGAGATAAAACCTTTGTTTTGAATCTCCAAGCTCGAGCTTTTCTCCTGCAGAGCATTGGATTTGGATCCTGAATCTTCGTTTTGCTCACTTTTGCTCGTTTTCACCTCGGAGCCATTCTTTTCATGTTCCTTCATCTCCTCCGTGTACATTTCCTCAACCATTGGCTTCCAAAGTCGAACTCGGGCATTAATGAACCAATTTGACACCTGTGTATCGGTAGGGTTTAGGCCCTGTTGGCGATAGGTAAGCAATGTCTGGGAACGTGAATATTATCAATTACCTGACTCCTAGTAAGCCCCGTCTGTTTGGCAAGCATGAGCTTGTCTGAGTCCTTGGGATAACTGCATTCATCAATCACGAATTGAATCGCGTCAGTTTAAACAAGATCTTTCTTCCAATTCAACAGCCTAAATTGAATTTCGACAGAGTAGTAGGTTAGATATGACAACACATACGGGTGGAGGAAGTGTTCGAAGAGCCAAGCACGAAGAACAGAAACAGATCGCTCGGGCAGCCCTCTTTGGGGTCTCCAAGCATTGTGCTGGATCATTCCCAATTGTTGGAGAGCTCTTTGCTGTCGAAGTTGATTATCAACGAATTTAAGCCTTGATCCCTCTATTTTCCCACCGAAACTGTCTTCTTCGCCTAAGCTCTTGCTTGCAGCTCGTATTTGGCCTAATATTGCGTCTTTAAGGCATCGAAATTGCTTCGAAATCGTTTGCAAAGCCAGGGCTGTGTATGTCTTCGCAGAACCAATTCCTGCTGCTTGTTCGAACCAAGAAATGACAATCTGCATTTGATTGTGATACTGTCTGTACCTCTGCTCCACCTTTCATACCCACGCATTGGAAGAAAGAAAACACTAAGTTATAAATGTATATACAGAGCATCCGCATCCATCAAGGCAACAGAAGAACTGACAATTCTCATGATAGCCCCGTAAATGAACGCTAACCTACTTCTTCAAATTGAATTATGAGAACACAAGGGGACGACAAGTTCAAGGATCTCAAGAGAATTGCACAAATTGAATGCGGAAATCATTTTTTATACGGAAAATTCACCCAGTAGTACGGAGTAATAGTAGTGTTAAAAAAAAAAAGGATTAAAAAAATTTTAAAAAAAGAGTAAGGTAGAGAACTCCAGTTAGATTTTCGAGAAAGGAATTATTGAAGGGAAATTTTCATGAGATCATGATTATTTGATAGCTACTCCTGCAAAGATCTGATATCCCACTCAAAGTGATGGAGACTTGACTCAGCCTTCCGTACCCTTGGGGCCGTTTTCACAACAAAAGAAAATAAACCACAGTTGAAGCCTTAACGTAGTTGCTTCAAAGTTGAAAATCACTTTCAGTTTATCGGTTATAGTACCATGCTTGCATGCTTTCAAAATCAAATCTTGGCTTCTCTACAGTCTACACCATAGAGCACAACATCAACAGACCGAAAAATAGCCTTACCTCATCAAGCATGTTAACCAGCTTTGCTTTCTTCATCTGTATTTCCTGTCTCTCGGCGGTGGTAAGCTCGGCACTGCGCTTGGCACTGTTCTCTCTTCCATTCTGACCTTCTCCGGCAGTGGCCGTCATCTCGGATGACTCTCCTATCTCCTTGGCCTGCCCATTAGCACCTTTAGCAGTTGCCACACCACTTTTTACTCCCTTGCCAACATTGACAACTTCATCAAGGAGCTCTTGAGCTGCCTTCAAGTACTTAGAACTCAATAGCACACTTTGCATGCCGTTCACTCCGTTGGAAATCCCTGAGGCCGAGGAGGATGATCCCCCAGAAACCCTCAAGTCATCCCCACCAGTTGGAGATATGGCCGTAACCAGAGGCTGTGATGGGATTTCACGTTCAGGCCTAAAGGACCCGTACGCAGGCTGTTGAGAAGAGAGGCTCAAGGAGAGTCCTTGCTGGGCGCGTGACACTTCACGCGCCGCCCCAAGGTCCATGGCTGGGCTGTACAAGTTGTACTGGAGGCGAGGGAGGAAGGCGTGAAGGGCTGAGATGTCTTGCACAGACGCAGCGTGAGGTTGGTGGTCTTGGGATGAGGTAGCTGCGGTGGCGGTGAGAGGGATGCCGACAAACTGTTGCGTGGGGGAAGGAGGAGGTGGCGCGTGGTGAACGTTCAGAGAGTTGGCTCCAGGTGCTGCTGACGGTCCAGGAGTGTTGGAGGAGTTGAGGAAAACGAAGTTGCTTGGTGGTTGGACTTGGACTTGGACGTGAGGCGGCGGTTGATGTGTGTCAGAGTATCCACCAACGTAGCCAGCATGGTTCATGAGAATCAGAGTTTGCAAGCCATGATCCCCGCCCCCTCCTTGGATTTCCGAATTCCCATGAAAGTACGTCGCCATCGTGATCGGACTCTCTTATCTTTTTTTGCTGAATTACCTTCTTTTTCCTGTTCCTACAAACTAGTACTACATCAATGGAAAGAGACTACGTTAGCCTTCACTTCATTTCACATCCAATCCCAATAAATAGTTATGTACCCCCGAATACACACCCACCCCCATAACAAAAAGAAAAAAAAATTTTCCATCATCACATCCCACACATCTTATATATAGAAATATAATACTACTACGAGTTAGCTTTGCTGCTACTCAGTACTCACATATACACACACACACGCGTATGTACCTGTTGGTCATATGAAGCTCTTAAATAACCTAGTTGGTCGACATAGTATTCAACCCATTTGGTTGGTCCTCCAGCTGCTGGGACTACTGTTCCAAAAGAGGTTATAAAGCTCTTAAATTGACCGTGGAGACTCGGAAGGCTTGAAGCTAGTCTTCTGATCAGATAAGGCCTGAAAATTGCAGAGGAGGATAAACCAATGATTAACATAAACAGTCCCCATACCTAAGCCGCCTGGCTGGTCGATCAATCAGTGGAACAAACTGCAGGATTAATCTTGAACATGATAACTTGGGATTTGGGATCATCAGTTTCAGTTTCTATTCTAATAATTTCTACACAGGGTTCCTTTAGATATTGAAAAGGAGCACGGGATTTGGGAAGACGAAGAGAGAAAAGTCGGGAAACAATACATATAGGGAGAGGAGAGGAGGAGAAAATCAGAAAAGACAGATATCTGGAATGATGTATACATGGTTAATATATCATAAATTAATTGGTACGTACCCTGTGGTTCGAAACTCTCGTATGGCACGTGTTCCGTCATTAACATCATCTGCTGCAACAAAGTAAGAAGAATTTTGAGATACAGTGACAGAAAAAAACCATATCAGATTGCGAGTGAGAGAGAGAGAGAGAAAGAGAAAGGGAGGGGGTTAAAAAGAGCATGCAGTTTTATGGCTAAATTACATGAGAAGAAAAGATGCATCAAGTTGAAGACCATAGAGAGGCCATACCTTTATGTCTATAGTCTATACCAAGCTTACCTAGGCGATCTTTATATATCTATCTATAAATTGTTGTAGCAGCTGAGATGGGATGATATATATGTATATGTATATATCTCTCAGTCACTCAGCAGTCCCTTTACTTCTCTGCTGTCAGACTCAAATCAATAACTCTTCCTATCCCTCCCAGCTTGACAGGGAAAAAACGGAAGTGAAGGTGGGCTGCGTTTTGGAGGGCGAGGTGCGGGTGGGGGGAGAGAGAGAGAGAGAGAGTGAGAGATCAAAGAGAGATGGGGCTAAAAAGGTAGAGAAAAAGATGCTCATCTTTATTCACTCATTTATCCACACACTTGAGTAGCTAGGTACCATTTCTTTTTCTTAGTATTGTTACGATAGGACTGAGGAGGAAAATTCCACTCCCTTCAAATTAAGAAGTAAGGAAAGAAAGGAAGTCCAGTCCCACATGATGTTACTATGAACTCTTGCCTCATGCATGTATGCTAAAGATTTACCAATTTCTTGATGTCATCCTCCCTTTTTCTTTCATTCTTTCTTTCTTTCTTTCTTGTTGTGGGATTTTTCGTTTCTTTTTTTTTTTTTAAATTTTTACTTTCTATTGGCTAGTTGGAGACTTGGAGGGGTGAAGTACCTGCGAATTGATCAAAGAAGGGGAGTGATTTGACCTTGTTTTGCAAATCATTTGATGCAGGCAGGCCAGGCACCTGTGTTGTTTGATGAGCTACTAAGAACTTTTCAGAGTGAGAAAGATAGAGATGTAGATGGGTTTATGTGTGCGACTATGTGTGTGTGTGTGTGTCTTTGTTTCGTTACATATATGTAAAATCAATGCTATCATCAAAGTGTGTCAGAAGATACAAACAGCTGAAAAACGAGGAAATGTCCCCCTCCACTAAAGATTATGCAGGTTGTTAATATAATATCATCAGAAATTAATAATAATACATTTTTTATATACAAACGGGTAGAAATATAGGAGGAGGAGGAGGAGAAGAAGAGGAGGATGCTGATGATGATGATGATGATGGTGATCTACTGTGAAGTTGCATTAGGGGGGAAGGGATAGAGAAAGGGTCCCCTCTTTCATTATTGATTGCTCTTTTGTCTTTCTTCTTTATCATTTCCCTTTTTTTTTTCTTTCCAATATCTTGAATTGGTATTTTTTGTGGCTGGATGATAGAGTTTGAAGATAAAGCAATTAAAAGGCCAAGTAGCACATATGGCCAACCACCGTGACACCTACTTAATGCCCAAAAAAGTTATAATAACATTGCATCTACTTTTTTTTTTTTTAATCAATAAAGTGAGCTTCAATCAAGAAAATCTAATTCCTACTAACATCATACTATATATGTCTTACTGCCTCTGTTTATATGCTCTTGATTTCAGCTTGGCCATCTGTATTTGAAATTTGAAAATTTCAACCTTCAATTGTTTAATTAGACATTACCTACCGCAAAAAAAGAAAATTAAAATGATAGCATAGCATCTTAACGACCCAGCATATATAATCTTCTTCTAGTACCCATTGATATTGTCCTTGCTGAATGCTGGCCACCGAGCAAATTCATACTATTTTTCTTATATATATATATAATGGATTTGATATTAGTGCTGATAAATTACACAATTAATGTTGAAGTTTCCAGGGATGATACTCAACTCGTTTTATTTTATTACTTCCCCCTCCACCAAACCCCTCCCCACAGCTGAACGCTTTCTTGAGTTTGAAACGACTCCCCTTCAAATTTAGAGTTTTCATGAGCTCCCAAAGACTTGAGAACTTTTTACCTACAATCCCGTTTGGATATATATATATATATATATATATATATGCGCGTTTGGATAGTGGATTATTTAGGTTAATTTTCGGAAACAAATACTGTAAATTTTTTTAATATGATGTATGTGAAACAAGAAAGTGATTTAAGAAATGTTGACGATATATGCAATTTAGCAAACAAAGGAGGTGGTGTGGTAAAAAGTTAGGATTGATAACAGTGCTTCGGTTCTCAACAGCAGGGCTCCATTATTCTTTGCGAAGGCTGAGCGTTCTAGTTCAAATTGAAGTGCAAATAACAAACACTACTACTAGCTAGTACCAGGGAGGAGGGGATCCGCTGCCAATTTAATTTACTCATGTTCTTTCTTTCTACTCGATCTATCTCCTTAAGTTGTGAAAAATATATATATATATATGTATATATTCTAGTTGTAGAACCATATACGAAGACCGTGGAAAACATCAAGCCAAATTCCGGGAATTAGATGTATTCCATCTAAAATTTTTTGTTCATTAATTAATAGGGTAAACAAAATTCCGTTCCAGAAGGTACAAGTGATCTATCTCTTGGCTCATCAGCTCTTGTCATCAACTGTCATGTCTCCAAGAGTATTTAATTTCCCAAGAACCCCTAACTTCCTAAGATTCTCCCCTAAAGGACTGCACAGTATTTTTATAGTATTTGTTAATGCATGCTTTTCATTGTCGTCCCCCGACGAGTGATGAGTGATGATGATGGCTGGCTATGTGCTGACTCGCGTACCAATTGCTACAGATAAATTAGGATCTTCTTAATTACCCGCACTAACATGATTCTTTACAAAACTTTTGGCAACACATATGAATATTTATCCATCAGCCCCGGAACTCTTCTCTGTGTCTGAAGCAGACAGGGACGGTGTCCATGCCAAGGTTTCTTGAGGAGGTCTTGCAGTCGCATTCCCTGGACAGCTAGCTTCCCGCCAATTCATATCATGCATTAGATTATATCTGCTTAATTAATTTTTCCTAATAAAAAAATCAGCACCATTTTAGGTAAATTTCAATGCTCTTTGTCTAATCATGTTGGACATGTCAGTACTTGCAGCTCCTGACTCTATATATATTTTTTTTTTATAAAAAAAAAAAAAAAATAATTAGGTAGGTCGGTATATATGATACTTTTGTGAACAGCTATAGCTTTTCCTAAAGTGTTTATGATAATGTTTTATATGCATGGAGATTTGCCTTGACCACAGTAACAAGTTAGGGTTCTTTAGGCTTCTGGGTAAACAAAGCGGATCAGTGAAAAACACCCCCTCACCTCACCCAAAGAAAGAAAAGAAAACAAGAATTCTGCGAAGCCCTGATGTCGTTGGATGTGAGCATCTTTCGTCACATTTACAATATACAACTGATTGTCGGTATATCAATTTTTGCTATCGACCTAACGAGTATTGTCTTTTGACAGTGCTAAAAATATAGGAGGAGGATAAACCATGGAATATTTATTTACCTTTCAAAAAGTTTTATTTTATCGACCTTTTTCAATCTCAATCTGAAGTCAAGTCAAGGAACATTGAAAAACAGCAATGAAGTGTTTAGAACATTAGATTGAATCACAGGAGAGAATGAGAGTACAGTGGAGGTTTTTTCTTTCTTTTTTTTTTTTTAAGTAAATCTTATATATATACACTGAGAGTAAATATACTATCACCGTTGGATCTATGACACATGTACAAAAATTAAATTTCAAATTCAAAATTTGCACAGTTGTCATTCATTCAACGCTGATAGTATAGTGTATACACTGTCAGTTTAGGAAATAATAATCTTTTTTTTTAGGATGGATGTTTTGGGTATATTGATTGAAGCTTGTTGCTAGTATATGGCGCATGAAATTGTTGAGCGAACTAGAATTTGTAATTTATCATACAAGTATATATTAGTATCATTCTGTTCAAGCAAAAACGAAGTGACCATTTGACTTTGATGCCTCGTGTGAGAAATGATCTGAGATTCTTAATTAATTAGTGCTATAATATATTTGGAGAAGAAAGTTTTCAAACAGTTATGATTGTGAATCCATTAATTAGTTGTAGATGTAACCCACTAAACCGTGAATAAACACAGCACACCCTCAATTAATTAACTACTCATGACATTGCTAGTTTTAATTAGTTACTCTATTTGTACATGCCCGTACCAATGTGTCTCTCTAGTGCAGTATTAAAGCTACGCCAATGTCTCATTCAATACTAAACAGATGCTATATGGTCATTCTCGTTCGCTCTATGACTAGGTAGCAGACATGTATCACAAAGTAATAATAGACTAATGGGTAATAGTAGTAATAACAAGAGGAATAATACGGATCAACATCACATTCCTCCTACCTTCAACTACAATTTGATGCTCAATCCTTTACTTGATAGTATTTTAATTGCTTCACTTCTTTACTTGATTTTTTTTTAAAAAAAAAAAATTATTGCCAATTAGTCCTTTTTCCTCTTTTCAATCCTAAATATCTTGTTATGTGGACCAGGAATGTGATTGATGTCCTTAATTATGTCACGTCAAAAAGGCTATTTTACCCTGTATTTGACCAGGAATGTGAGCATGGCTGCATATTTAGATGGGTTTTTTTTTTAAACTCGTTAGCACATCTAGTATTCACCTAATTTATTATATATATACATATATTAATAATTATTATCCTTTCTTGCATTTATGTATTTTTTCTAATTAATCTCATATTTTCAAAAATATAACACTTAAAGTGTATGTTAACGTACGTCTATAAAACAGTCGTAAGAGAAATTGTAATTAGATTTTAGAAGAGAAGTAGTCGACGACGTTTTGCAATGAGAGAATGCATGCATGAATTCAATAGAGAGATCATTTTTTGTTTAGGGTTTTTGTGTGTTGGCCGCCCGGCGGGGGGGGGGGGGGGGTTGGTGGTGTAATTGTTGTTTGTGACATGAGAGAAAACTGAAGAGAAAGTAAATCTCAAGTCTTTCAAGAATACAAGTGACCGGTCGCTTTTAGCGTTTTCTCATAGCATCCGTTAGCTTTTGTGGCAGCTTTTGGGAATGAAATTCCCTCCATCCCTTTCATCGGAAAATGACTACGAGTAATACGACGTGAGGGATAGACAGCACTTACATTCCAATTTCACACATTCATGACTGCCTCCTCTTCAAGGAATATGACTGCATGAGCATGAGGCTGATACGAAGTTTTTATTTTTCTTTTTCCTCTTTGAAAAATGGCCAATGCTGACGTCTGCCAATCCTCAGAACCATAACTATGCCCCGCTCGCGTCACCCGCTTCTTTATGGATCATCACTTTCTTTGAGATCAAGAAGCAAACTGTTGAACATAGAATATCTTGAAAACGTGCCACATAGTAACTACTACTGCTACTTGCTGCTAACTGCTCCCGAGTTTTGATCGCCAGCAGCTTACGATAGTAGGTAGCTACAGAAGAATATTTTGGGGCCCACTTTTTGTCTCAACAAAATATTTAAATTTTTCCTATCCCACCTAAGACAGTATCACATATATATATATATATATATATATATATAGGT